CTGATAAAAAAATTAACTGCAAAACAGCTCTTTTTGTCCTATAACTACTTAATGTTACTTTACATTGAATAATAATTTTACACCATCAGTTTTATTAAGTTACGTTCATAAGTAGAAGTTTATAAAATACCAATTCAAGGTATTCCACATGCATCTGCATTTATTTAATGTATTATAGTGACACACCTCAAGGAAATACAATCGTATGCGTAGGAAAAAACTTAAAAAATTATTAAAAATATAATATTCTAGCGATTTTCTTACCTCTCAAGACCTTTACAGTTCTCTTTATACTCCAGCTTATTTTTTTTGTAAACTATTTCACTAAGTATAATTAGAATTTCAAAAAGTTTTCAAAGAGTCAATGCTCTTGGCTTTCAATGGTTATTCTTCCTTTTCACTTTTATTTTAATTTTTTTTTATATTTCTTGCAGTCAATTGTCAAACTTTGGTTTTTGCTTCTAATGTATTTTGCTTTTTTTAATTGAAATTTGCAATGACCACATAATCATTCATTAGCTCACATATAACTTTATATATTTCTATTTGGTTTGCGTTAACTTTTTTTTTTCTTTTTTTAATTTTAATTTTGTCATCAAAATACTAAAATCAAAATTATCTCGCAAGACAAATGTTACAAAATCAGTGGCATCTATACGAATAAACGAAAGTTTAGATAATTTCAAAACTTGAATGTCTGAAATGAAGATTAATCGAGTCTATATTAAAATTAGTACTATGGACATTTATGAACCCCTGAAATATGTTTTATTGCAGGCAAAACTTCTTTGCGACTTTTAAAGGACAAGTTTTCTATAGGATAGGTAGTTTTATGCAACATTAAATGATGCCTATAAATATATTGAAATATATTTTATTTCAAAAGCTGATTACTGACCTTTGCATACTCAAGTTGTTCCTAATTTGGATAGAAGATTAATACAAATTCTTTGAAATTATTTTCTTACCAGTCGTAACATAATCTAAAGTTTTAAAAGTAATTAGAAAACTTTAACTTCTTATTTAAAAAATGGTTTTTAGTTAATTATTCGTCCTGATCGTTCACCTGCATATTGACATAGATAAAGATTATTCGAGTGATGTATCTATTAATAAGGTTGCTATTCTATCAATAAATTAGAAGAAGAATCACAGAAATATTATCTTTCACTGTCAAAACAATCAATTATAGCAAGTAACTGTACCGTTCATATGATCTTCTTTGTGTTCAGTAAGCTCTTATGTTTTCTGCAGGTGAAGATCGATACCACCAAACAATCGAACATGGAAATTGTGGTCACGCAAAAACAATGTTTAGCATGCAGTTCTAGGCTTACAGACTCATGGTCAGATTAGATACCAAACGTTAAATATTATTTCGGAAATGTATTTAATAAAATTTGTGCGAGTATGATGACAAAAATAATTACAGAACTATTAAGCTACGTATGCAATAATTAAATCAAGTTACAAGCTACAGATTATGTTTTTTTTTAAAATGCAATCAATAAGAATGTTCGTGTTTAAGCTGTTGATATTGGCCAACCTGTTATACTTTTATCATAATTCACTACTAAACCTAAATATATGTATGAGAAGACTCAGGATACTACAACTTACGAATATGAATATGGACGCACAGATTTATTTGTTACTTTTACTTGTACTCCTGAATAGCAAAAAATTAAGAATTAATTATTTATAGGGTAAAAGTCATTTGTTAGTTACCAGATTATGATTTGAGTATTTCATTTATAACTAAAAAAGTTTATATATCTTGCGACCAAAAAAAGATATCTGGAAAAGTTAATTATTACGCATACAGCGTTAAATGGAAAAAGATAGGTCTCTCACATAAATATTTACTTCTGTGCTTGGACGATGAAATTTAATCAAATAAAATCAATCTCATAATTTTAGCTGTACTTCCAAACAAAACAAAAACTACTATTTAAAGCAGTCTTAAAAAATATGATTTATGGACCTTACGGTGATCTTAAGGGAGTTGGGTCGCTCCCGCGGGGAGGTGAAGGGGAGCACGTGTATTTCATAAAGCACCGTGCTAAAGTCTGCTGTACTAACCTAGCCTAAAAACATCCGCCCTTTCGATTACGGAAAATGTATTTGTGTTCGACTCGCCAGTACTCGTTAACGTTTCCTTGGCATTTAAGTTTATCAATTATTTTTAATGCATAGTCTCTCCCAGTAGACCTACAAAAAAGTAATCAATAAAATAAATATAAATAATGATATTTTTTGAAATAAGCAAATACTGGTAAGATTCTGTTTAGTGTTTGGCTGTTTTTTTGTAAAAAGATTAACTTATACAGATAAGGCGTATAAGCTTTAAGCATCTTAATGTTATCTATAATTGTAACATAGGCAAACACAACTATGTAAATTTTCAGACTTGACAATAAGTTACATTTTTTCAAAGATTTTTCTTGAATGGAATCTGAATCTTAGGATAAAATCAACGAATTGCCTCTGGTTTCTGGTATGTTCCAACCTAAGAATTCACAAATAGCAGTTTTTTCCTACTATTTTCAAAGTCATGTGGCATTGTAACATAATTTCCTTGTAAAAGCTGTTAAAAGCATTTTCAAGAACAGTCCTGAACTTCTAACATGGCGTTAAGTTCGCTCAGATGTCTTTTTTTAACCAATACATAGCATGTTAAAGTTTCTCGTTTATTAAATCCTACAAACCATATTCTCAATGAACTACTTTACAAAAAGACGGCACTTGTTTGTATATTTGCAAAAATCTCTAAAACCACTAATCCAATGTATCCCAAAATTTTGATAAAAGTTTAATTACACGGTCTATTATTTTATAGGCTATTAAATTTAGCAAAAACTGTAATAGAACAATTTTTATGCGGCTGATAAAAAAATTAACTGCAAAACAGCTCTTTTTGTCCTATAACTACTTAATGTTACTTTACATTGAATAATAATTTTACACCATCAGTTTTATTAAGTTACGTTCATAAGTAGAAGTTTATAAAATACCAATTCAAGGTATTCCACATGCATCTGCATTTATTTAATGTATTATAGTGACACACCTCAAGGAAATACAATCGTATGCGTAGGAAAAAACTTAAAAAATTATTAAAAATATAATATTCTAGCGATTTTCTTACCTCTCAAGACCTTTACAGTTCTCTTTATACTCCAGCTTATTTAATTTACTTTTTCTTAATCTATAATTTTCACTGATACAATACATAGTCGTAAAAACTGTCTTTTGAACATAAAAATATGAAATGAAGATTGTTTAGAGTTGAAAAAATAAATACTTTCCCTACCTCACGAGTTCTTAAGAGACTGGTTTGCGCTCGGTAGAAAAAATAGGATTCGCCATATAAGCGACATTGCTCTGTGGCTTCCTTACGTCCCTCGAGCCCTGTTTCGCAGGGCTCCGGGGCCGCAAAATAGCCCTGGAGACAATGGCACTTATCTGACAAAAACTACTATTTTCATCATAGACAACCAAATCTTACTGAGTTCAATAACATTTTCTTTAATGTTTCACATCCGTCGTGCGTCCCGAGAACCACATCTGGTTATTAATAAAAAATTATTTGCCTACTGTGCGCTGTAGTTTAAAGTGCCTCGCACAGTTGTTAATTGTTTTTACTAATATTGGCTCACCGCCTACTTACTTCTATAATGCCTTTCATGAACCACTACCCACGAACCCCGTAGTCACTACCTGGTTCAGTCTAAGAAGACACGATATGCACCTTGCGACCCAAGTTAGTACTAGCTACGTGTCAAGAAGCAACTAATACTCGTCCTCAAAAAGCCACTCATCCAAAGTAGGGGGCCCGAAGACACATTGCCATCACTGTCTCACACCCCTTGCACATAATAAAGACATAATATAGCCACTATATAAACAGACAAACCGTACTTACCAACGTTCTCGCGACCTTTTGTAGCCAAAGTGCTTCTGGTCCTGGATGTTGGCTCGAGACCTGGTCTTTTCAAAATCTCAGTAGTCGCTCGATATCACCCAGCCAGCCAAGGTCCAATAACTCTCTTCCCTGTCAACGACATCCACGGAAAAAAGCCAAGGCTAATGAAAAGGCACACAACAAACGCTTTTAACTACGCTCCAGATATCTAAATTGCTCAGCAACAGAGATAACTCAATAGGAAAACTCAACTCTGCTATTTTAGACCAGCTACTTCTCCTTACTTGATACCATAAAAACTTCCCACAACCAACTCTTGATTGATCAGCTACCGTTGATCAACGATTGCTGATTGGCCCATTACGTACCAGCACC